GGAAAATACAATATCAAAACAGGCTATAGATCGCGAATGACTATAGGTAGATCACCATCCTAGGGACCAGTGCTTTTGTTACCTGCATGGACCCAAGCACAGACTGCAATGGTTCCAAGTATTGTATAATTTATAATTTATTTTCACATCATAACTATGTTACGACAGTTAGTTATCGGAGATTTTAAGCAAGTGAGTGAGCATTGTTTTGATTGTAATTATAGATTGTTGGCCAAATCTGCCAACAACAAAGGTTCCATCAAACATGGTTGGGAAATGTTATAACTGCTCGATCAACTTGTTTAAACAAATTGACAACATGGCAACTAACTTAATTAACTGCATTATCATCAGGCACCCAGTGTGTTTATTGCGAGCTTTGTGATGTACGTGAATGTTTTGACACATGCAGTCAACCTGACACGACAATAACTTCCAGTATGTCCAGATGAATAATGTCACATTATTAACGCAAAGTTGGTACAGTCGTATTTGTGTCATTAATTTCATACTTTAAAACAGATTTAAAACATACCTGAGTTTGGGTTCGTAAGAAATTAACAAATGCATCAAATGTAGACTCATCCTCTTCACTACCACTTCCAATATTCAGCGTTTCTCGTACTTTATCCCACAATGCACCAATCATACGACTTCCTTCATCTGCAAGGCTCATGTTGTCGTATTACCCCAAGTTGGTACTGGCACCATATTGCACAATGCACGGCATAATGAGTTCTTCAATAATTCACGATAATCCTTCCTCAAAAACTTTCTGAAGATGAATTTTCACTATAAAAACAGATCGTTTATAAGTGAACATATTCCATGTATCTATATCCTATATCCACCATGGAATAACAACGGGTATCCTCATTATGCTGCTGGTAATATCTACCGGTATTCCATGAATAAACCTTCACATACCACATGGAGATATTCCCAAGAATTATCAAGCAATAATATCCATGAAAATTCAACACTGAATATCAATTTCGAATGACGACTGTTAATCCCGACTCATGAATGAACCATTTTGTCCTGAGCCATTCAACACTTTAAGTTTGCAAGTCTGACAATTATTCTGTACTGAATGTCCCATCGTAAAATAACATTACTAACAATCACGCCTACATAAAACTAGCCACATAACAAATAATGGGACAATCCTAATGCCAACTAGGTCCACCGCACGATGACAAGTCTACAGCCATTAATCCATAGAGTCAGTCCATTACTCCACTTAACTCCGATTACAGGTGACAAGCAACAGGTTCCATTAAAGTTAGTCGTACACAACCACAGGTAAAGTTGATCCGAACCTGCCACGACTCCACCTGACAGCCCCAGGAGGCTAAGTTTTCACCCCAGTGGGCTCACCAATTATCTCCATCGACAACTTCCTACCCACTGACCTGTGACTGCAATAATGAAGCGATTGCCGTCACTGCCACCTCCGTAAACATCTGTGTGGCAGGTATGCAGAGACGAACAATGACACTACCTCACAGTGACGAGGACGCTCGCAGTTATGATGGATCACACGAGTACTATACACTGTATGAAAGGACAATATAGCAGGCTAACCTTGTAAGGTAAAGAACGCTCATTTGATAGTAAATATTTATTTTGGTCATAAAAACATTCAATCTTTAATATGTCACATGAGTGTGCAATTTTTTCCAGTAGCTTATCGAGTTGGGTAGTTTAGTTTGGTCATCCTTACATTCAATCTATAATATGTCGTGTAAGTATGCAATTCTTTTGCTGTAGCTCACTGAGCTCGGTATATGTAAATTCCAATTTACTTACTTGTGTTTTTATTCATTCTGAAATCTCTTTTTAGTGAGTGAGTGAGTTTAGACTGACTGAGTTTTTTACGCGCGTTTTAGCAATATTCCAGCAATATCATGACAGGGGACACCAGAAATGAGCTTCACACATTGTGCCCATCTGGGGAATCGAACCCGGGTTTTCAGTGTGATGAGCGTAACACCTTAACCACTAGGCTATCCTACCGCCATATCTCTTTTGAGCATCCAATATTTTCAGCATATAAAGGTAATGAAAGAGTCAAAGCCATATTGACCATTAAGTTGCTTACGTTTAAGTTGACCTATCAGTTGTGTTTTACTTACTCAATGACAAAACATACATTTAGCATAATGTCATTCAGTTATTATTAAAAAATCTCAAAAGAGACATTACCGAATACAAAAGAAAACATCATGAAAATATGTTAACTGTTTTGTGAAACAAACAATACAGTTGTTTGACTTTCTTGTATACAAGGTGCAATAACAGTTTTCATAAAGCATGGGAGGCGGTGAAGTAGCCTAGTGGTTACAGCATTCCCTCGTCACGAAGAAGACCCGGGTTCGATTCCCCACATGGGTACAATGTGTGAAACCCATTTCTGGTGCCCACCGCCATGGAATATTGCTAAAAGTGGCGTAAAACCCAACTCACTCACTCATAAAGCAAGGTTTGGGATACCTTGTATTAGAGTGCATTTAGCATGCTTAGGATTATTAAGGCATGGTAAAAATAAGTTCTATCAGATGAGGAGACAAAAATGTTTATTTGCCCATTTAATCTTGTTTGTTTGCTTAGCTCGCACTCAGCAATATTCTACCTATATGGCAGGAGTCTGTAAACATTTGAGTCTGGATCAGACGATCCAGTGATCAACAGGATAAACATCAACCTATACAACTGTGATATGATGACATGTGTCAAACAAGTCAGTGAGCTAGACCACCCTATCCCGTTATTCGCCTCTTATGACAAACATGGGTTGCTGAAGACCAATTCTAACACAGAACTTCACGGATAGCACAGTTAATCTGGACAAACATATAGCCTTAACACATAAACACAATATGATTAAAAAATATACCATGGATTAATAAGTGTCAGTTAATGATTTCAAGTGAATGAAAAGGTAATCAAGCTTTCCAAATTACAACCAATTATCATCTAGCTGATCAACCTAATGTTCACTATGTCTCATGATAGACCAAAATTAAGGTTTCTTTCCTGTCACACATATATTCCAAAAGGAATATCTGACAAGTTTATAAAATGAAAAATATTTCTATCCCCGCAAGCCTGTACAAATGAACATCAAGGATACATAACAGAAGGTAAAAGGCATAAACAGGTACAGGAAATCAATGGGCAGAACCTGCATATACTGTGACACCGCATTCAGAAAAAATGTGGGTGATTCACTACGGCTGAGTTAATTTGATCAGGGACTATTAACCAATCTAGGGCGGACACACAATATGTTTTATAGACCTCTGTAATTGTGGAATCAATTATTCCAACAATTGTGCAATGATAAATTGGCCATCATCTATTTGAGTTAATGATGCGGGCCTAGATTCAGTGGTAGCAGGATTGGCTGCATGACTCAAAAGTTGTAATACGATATATATAGCCTCCAAAATGAGGGAAAACGGCCAATCAAACACTTGACATGGGATAACCAGCCATCCTTTATACTGGAAGGGCATAAGCTGCTAGTTCACTTACATAGTTTATGCATCTGACCATGCTAATATTCAGGTGTCATGACCATTCATCAAACATGACAGTGTCTCAGAAATGATATACTGATTCAAGCTTGTGACAACTAAAACGCCATTAAGACTACTGACAGAAAAAGAATATAATCCAGAGGGGTATAACAAAACAGGTTTTTGATATCTACGGAGATAAGAATATTAGGATTGGTTTCAGTTGGAGTTATAGTTTTGGAATTTATTATTTATTTATTGGTCTATATCACATGATCATTGACAACCATCCTAACACTGGCGGTGTAAGACAGTCATATATTGCACTGCACTATTTTTCCAGCTGTATGAGAGCAGCCTGAAATAATCAAGTCTGGACCAGACAATCCAGTGATTGACGTCATGAGCATTGATCTTTGTAATTGTGATTTGGTGACACACATCAACCAAGTCTTCTGTGAGTGTTATTTAGAAGCAGGTATGATGAAAAGGAATGATTTTTATGGATAGACAACTTCTTCATTGCAATGGATCCGATGTTTCAGTGTCATTTCTAACACCGTCATCACTTTCTTAATAACTGTGTTAGTATCTACACCGAAACATCGCATCCATTGCAATAAGAAGATGTCTATCCATAATAATCGCAGAGCTGTCAACCCCTAAAGATGGTTTGGAGTGAGACTGAAAAAAAATAAGCCGAGGTCCAGCCAGGGTCATGTCGAGGGCGACGCCCTGGTGGGGGGTCTCTGGGAGGCGAAGCCCCCTGCCCCCGAAAATGAAGTTTAGTGATTTTCAGGAGCATTTGGAGCCTTCTGGTGGCATTATTTTGACACTAAAAGATGCATGCTAATAAATAATAATAAGCCGAATCATTCGCATAAACATCGTTTTAGTACTTCGTTCATTCAGGCGTTCTTTCAATGTTCAACTTTACGCAAAAACGAACGAAAATGCGTATTAATTTTGAAATTATTTTTGGCCACCAGATATGCGTGAGATTATTATTTGGAGGTGTGAGAGCGTGACATTTGTCGATAAAGCGTGAGACTCACGCCAAATGTGTGAGAGTTGACAGGTATGTAATCGTTCCTGCTCATCAACCAAGTTGCCAAGCCAGGCCCTCTGATCCTACACCGGTTGTTGAAGACAGCGAGATGCTTAACTCGGGATCTTCATAGACTGTAAATTTGCTCTAAATGCATATTTGCCTGAATTTCACCATTGCCTTGGAACATATTCAATGAACAACTGTATCATACTGCAGCATACTCCTCAGGGAGTTGAAATGGATACATCCACATCATAAAACCCCATTATGATGTCTTTGCGTAATTAGCACCAGCATTCCCAGTTCTAGACTGACAGGTGTACCTGTGGGAACACTTGAAACAGGATTTTGTTAATTAAAGATGTCTTCAAAGACACTCAACAAATAATGATCACAGACAAAAGGAGAGCAATTGTTCTACTCACCCTCAACAAACTCTCAAAAGAATTGGCCAGACTTTTCTTTGCTTTATTCTTGAACGTATCAAACTTCACAAGCACGCTCTTGTCGTCAAGGATGTTGAACTGAAATGGATATATTTGATAGTACACTGCAAAAATGTTTAAAATATTTATTCTCATTGTTGGTGTTTATACCAAGAGGCGGTGGGGTAGTCTAGTGGTTAAAGCAATCGCTTATCATGGGTTCGAATCCCTACATGGGTACAATGTGTGAAGCCTATTAAGTGTTGCCCATTGTGATATTGCTTGAACAGTACTAAAAGTAAAACCACACTCACTCGTGTTTACTATTGAGTGAGTGAGTGAGTGAGTATGGTTTTACGCCTCTTTTAGAAATATTCCAGCAAGATCAAGGCAGGGGACACCAGAAAAGGGCTTCACACATTGTACCCATGTTGGGAATCGAACCCGGGTCTTTAACGTGATGAGTGAATGCTTTCACCATTAGGCTACCCCACCACCCATTGTGCTAGTATTAAGAGGAGACCAAATGGATTAGGTGGTCAGGTTTGGTGATTTGTTTGAGAGTGTGTAATCTTTATCTAGAAATAAATCTTTAATCTTTAATCTAATGTGACATTGTTCAAATTTAAAAATCACTTGTTCATCTGGTCCAAAGTCTTAATTTACAGGCTGAATGATAAAGCCAGGATAGTCCGGTGTGAATTGTTAAAACGCCAGACAAACCATTTGGTCACTATGGGTGCTGAGGACCTATTCTTCCCTAGATTCCCCTTGAGGTTATTCTTCACTGTGACTCATGGCTGACTGAGTGCATCATGAAGCCAAATCAGCAATTTTCCAGGAAGCAACTACTTGTCAATAATTGAGTCTAGACATGACAGACAATTAGCTACACTACAGGGGAATAACATCGTCCAGAAACTGTTGGATGAAAGAAAGTATACTTCCATTAAAATGTAGTGGACTGACAAGGTGGTGAGGTGAGGTGAAATTGGGTTTAACGTCGTGCTTGAGAATATTTCGCTCATATGACGACGTGCATGCGCGTGTATGTGTATGTGTATGTGTGGCTGCTTCTACTAGCCCAGACTTAAGCTGGTTTTATAGTGCTAGCCCACTGAGATACCATGCCGCAGTGAAGCATGAATACCCCACTCAGACACATTATACTGACTCCTAGCCGACCAGTCCTTGTTGTACCCATTAATGCCGAGCGCCAGGCAGGGACCAACAAGTACCATATTTTAACGTCTTTTTGGTATGACGCGGTCGGGGATCGAACCCGCGACCTTCCACTCTCCGGGCGGACGCTCTAACCACTACACCACGGAGGCGGTCGGACTGACAAGGAAATGATGGTTACATATCTCCCGACACTCTTCAATGCCATGACATGTTTGTTTGGTGTTTAATGCTGAGCTCAGCAATATCCCAGCAATGACAGCAATGTATGTCACATTTAGATTATACTCTCTCAGAAAAGGATTATACTTGTATGTGTTGGACCAGACAACCCAGTGACAGATACAATGAGCCACAACCTATTATGGCTTAGTTTGTTTGATTGCTGTTTAATACTGCACTCAGCAATATTGCAGCTATATGGTGGCCCTCTGGAAGTAATCGAGTCTGGACCAGACAATCCACAGATCAACAGCCATTCTCTTCCCACAGAGGTTACTTGTCATATCTTCCTACGAACCTCTGCTCTAATATGGCACTTTTATAGTGCGAGTGTTCAGTATTCATGATTGGTTGCAATCAGATTTAGTTGTGCAATCAGTGACGTTGTTTCAAAAGTGATTATTCACAAGGCCTTGGTAATTTCCGTAGGCTTCGGAATAAACTAAAACCTCTTCCCATGCGCGATGCTCAAACGTTTCTTCTAGACAGAACTCAGTCATGTAATGGTGGATCAATGGCGTCTCCATCGCCCTCGTTGACAACGGACAAGTTAGCCATTAAATGTCTTGTGTGTCACATCAACAGAAGTCCCCGGGCAGAGGAGGGATATTTCTGGCCCCATATTTGCTTGCATTAGTCAAGTTGGATCTAAGTCGATGTAACACGTGTTATGATTGGATATGAAGAAGGGAGATAATTTGTGTTGTGATTAATTATTTGAAACTGATCTATTTTAAATTACACATTTGGGTACATGTGGAAATGCATTCTAAATAAAAACAGAAATGTTTTGTGTCTAGATGGCTGACTAGAGACAGCAGATCCTAAAAGCCATTTTTAGCCTGACATTGGATCTAATATAATGTGACAGTTGTGAAAATATTATCATCTAACACTAATCTGATAAGCATAGTCACCAAAAGGGTTCAGTTCCCCCAAACAGGTAGTGTTCTGCATGGCATTTCATGTATCGCGTCTATCTACCACATGCAGATATAGAATGTATACAATGTAGGGGAGACAACTCACCTCATTCTTGCACTGCTTGGCTCCATCTGAGATGTGGACATGTTCCTTCTGTTTCTTCTCACACAACTTCCTCAACTCTATCATGAGGATCTCAACCATCTCTTCATAACCCTTGGGGTTCTCCACCTATGGGTAGCATACACACAAAAATATATTTGAAAATTCAAGCAATTTAAACCCGAATTCAGTTGTCCCATGGTAACTGAATCAAATTAAGCAAACGGCTTCTTATTCTAATACTAGACATTAAAACAAATAGTTGTCAACTACTCCAAGGCAACTTTATAATGCTAATTTCACAATTAAAAAAATCTTGAAAATATCTCTACTTTACCAAAGATTATTTCTGTGGGTTCAGAATCAAATTCATAATCAAACAAGAAGACAAAGTCATCAATATCCCCCGCAATGGCAAAATACTCTTCATGATTATGTCTACGAGTTATGATTATGTCAAATATTTAGGTGTGTATATAGAAAAGTGGAAGGAGAGTATTGAAAGGTTTTTAAAGTTCTGCTCCAGAAAATAGCACTATCACCAATTTCAGTCAAAGTGAAACTTGTTGCCATGGAAACGCCAAAATATTTTATTACGAATTCCAAAACTCACCAGTACACCACCAGATCTATCTATGTGCCAAGTTTGGTGAAGAAACATTGAACAGTTTTAGAGTTCTGTTCTGGAAAAGAGCACTATCACTAATTTCAGTTTTAGTGAAGCTTGTGGCAAAGGAAACGCCAACAATATTTTATTCGGAAATCCAAAACTACCAAAAGGCACCAGTACACCACCAGATCTATCTATGTGCCAAGTTTGGTGAAGAAATAGTGAACGGTTTTAGAGTTCTGCTCCGGAAAAGAGCACTACCACTAATTTCAGTCTAAGTCGAAATTGTTGCCATGGAAACGCCAACAATATTTTATTCAGAATTCCAAAACTACCAAAAGGCACCAGTACACCACCAGATCTATCTATGTGCCAAGTTTGGTGAAGAAATAGTGAACGGTTTTAGAGTTCTGCTCCGAAAAGACAAAAGTGCACGGACGGACGGATGGATGGACGAACGCACGGACGGAGTCCATTTTAATACCCGCAACGCGTTTTGCGGGGGATAATTACAGCTAAGGAATATTCATAACTAAAATGAATTATTCAAACATAATTAATAACTGCCAATAACAGTCAATTAATTGTTACAAGTGCCTGCATTACTTTGACTCCATGCACGGAAGAGTTATCTGACCTTGAGTGTGTTGGAAATGGCTGCAATTTCATTCTCGGTGAGGTTCTGTACTCTCTTCACAAGCAGGTCATAGGCAGCATGTGGACTCAAACCTAGGGAGGAAAAGTAACAACTTATCTTCATAATATCTCAGAGTGAACTATCTAACTATTTTTGTTTTATACTGAAAATTGTTTTCAGTAACTACTTTAATTTCAGGAACTTTTTATTACTTGACATTAATTGGCATACTGACACAACATACTGTATTTAGTCTATTAAGTGCCTGGAAACTTATTTTTTCAACGGACATCCAGACCCAGCTCTTATTAGAGGCCCGGCGCTTTTACGCTTACTGGGTATCATTACTGAGATTGTTAGTAAGCTGCTTTACCCCTGGCTCTTATTAGAGGCCAGGTGCTTAGTAGAGGAAATATGGTATTCTTTTTTTTCTCCATCGATTCTACACATTTATATATGTGTACTGAACACACGTTTCAATGTTGCATAAAACTCCATGCAGCTTGCTCCTCAGTTCTCCTTGCATACTGACCATTAATTTCCTGACAGAGTTTCTCGAGTTGATGTAGCGGACATCGAATACAGATCTGGTTGTGAGATGCTGAACGCTGGGAGGAGCTGTTGCTACAAGACTTGGACGCGATGCTGTCTTTGTGGGCTGTCGCAAATGCAGTCTGTAGGGCGCACATGATTTCCGATACCTGTAAACAATGATAAGCTTTAAAATGATTTATTTTGCAAATCAGAGTAGGGTTTCCGATGATGCAAAACACCTGCAAAAATGATGCAAGAATCGCGACAACCAAACGAATGTGATATGTAAGAATCTTATTCAGTGCAGGGGCGGTGAGGTAGCGAAGTGGTCACAACAAAGACCCAGGTTCGAATCCATGATATCAGCTGGATGCAGTTATTTACAGTACAGCTGATACATTGCTGAGTGTGGTGTTAAACAACAAGCTGTCAGTGACAATTTCATGCCTGATTTAAACATTTCTGTCACATTCCAAACAAACTGTATTGGAGATTACACGACCATAACCACCTTGTTTGGTTGCACGACATTTCCAAACAGAAAATTTACATCCGCTGTTGTTTTCTGCAAACAAAATTTGAGTTAATACCCAGTCAAACATTTTTTACTTTCACTATCACTATAATGAGTTCAGGATCTTTCATTCATATAAGACCTTGATAAGTTTGTTTGTCTAAAACAACACCCAGTTATATGGCAGTGGTCTGTAAACAATCGAGTCTGGACCAGACAACCAGTGATCAACAGCATGAGCATCGATGTAAGCAATTGGGATACAATGTCATCTGTCAACGATGTCAGTGAGCCTGACCACCTGATCCCGTTAGTCGCCTCTTACAACCCTTGATAAAGTATAGACATTTCTTCCTTGTCTAGAGTTTTGAGGTGTCACAGATATGTATTTAATATCATAACTAAAATATTTTTAAGAAATATCAAAATTCCAAACACTGAGTTTCATAATACAGTGAGTGACTGAGAGAGAGAGAGAGAGAGAGAGAGAGAGAGAGAGAGAGAGAGAGAGAGAGAGAGAGAGAGAGAGAGAGAGAGAGAGAGAGAGAGAGAGAGAGAGAGAGAGAGAGAGAGAGAGAGAGAGAGAGAGAGATTCCCCATAAATGTCAGCAAAAACAATATAGACTAATATTACATATCAAGGGCAATATTGTCCAATAATCCCCTACAAACAGGAAACCCAATAGTCATCTGTAGTTCTGGTTATCTTGTATAACACATGGCCACAGATACAATGCAACCTTTGTATGAAAATACATGACTTTGTAATAAATACATAAAACACCACAAAAAACGGTTCATTTGAGCTCAAAGGGACAACTAATTTTACTTCTTCATCGATGCAGTTCATTATACACATATCAACTACAATGTACAGCATGTGGCCAGGAATAAAATACAAAATCAAAACATTTTCTTATATCTGTCAAATCATCAGACACTTTTTTGTAAATAAAGTACAATGTGACAGTAGAAATTATATAAATGAATCACTAAACATGCATGCCACCTGGTGCTACATAGGTAAGCATGTCTTGCCCTTCCGCCAGCAGCACCCACAGTGACACAATGTTCATAAATCAGTGTGGTTGCCCTGGGCTGCTGGAACTCAATATGCACATATTGTACGATGTATGTCTGTGACATCCATTATGAAGCAGATGAAACTCAGGTCACACCAACCTGATTATTCGTTAATCACATGCTTTTCAGTGAAGTGGACAATGAATATTTCATAATTTCATACCAAGAATGCTAAATATTCTCCAAATTTAAAACATTTATGCACATACTCCAAAGAATATTGACAATGACATTGGTCTTGTTTATCATTTTCTTTTAAGCTTAACTCATTAGAATAATAACGAAATACACTGTAATCAGTTCATCAGTTCCTGATGAGAAAATAAATAAACAGAGTAATATTCTGTTTGCAAAAAAAGGGAGGTAAAATTTTGGCAAACAAATAATTTGAGGAAGATTGTGCATGAGTGAAGTATCAATAACGTTTATAACCATAAACCAGAGTGTCCATTTTTGTTCATAGCCCAGAATCAACTCATTTATACCCCTTCTATAACACATGAAAGAGCACAAAAAGCAAAGGTACCGATAATCTGAAACACACCGTGGTATTAATCTCTTTGTATCCACCAGAGCTCTGACACAAAGTGGATAATTGTACCTGTTGTAATAAGGAAAAGAGGAGGGACACTACAGGAAAGTTTATATGCCTGGTAGATAACATCACTGGCAGGCTGCCAGGTATTGAGCATTTTTCATATCAACAGACAATGAATGTTTTAAATCCCATGTCTGAATATCTCTTAAAAACTCTCTTAAGATTTACTAAAACACTTATTTACACTTTTATATGCACTCAATGCATTACAGAGGAGGTGAGTATGACTTGACATACTTCTTACAGTATTGCATATGTATCTGTGAGATAAAAAAAGCTAAAATTCATGCATACTAAATTGAAATTTCTTAGTATGAATAAATAACAGAAACTTTCCTTTAAAAAGTTGTATTGTATAGGTTGTAGATGTTTGTTATTTAGATGAAAGCAACAAGTATGAATATGGTGTGGAAAAACTGACCACAAATGGGGTGAATCTGGGATTCAAACCCATAACAAGGGCATCATGATAAGGCAGGGCTCCAGATAATTTTTCAACATCAGGAGTTCGTACTCCTTATTTGTTCAATATAGGAGTACTGGTAAACCTTAAGAGTACATTTAGAGTACTGAATGGAATTTAATGGAGTACCAGTGATCTTGTGGTTTGTTTCATATATGCGCCACAACATTGCTACTCTTGTGTGAACAGGTAAAAACCCAATAAAACAATACTTTTTTCAGATAAATATGTCTGTAAATGATTCTAAGACCGTGACACCTGCTGTGGTGCGTATCTGCTACGTTTTCTAAATTATTTCCTACCGTATCGTGCATATGTTTTAGCCGTACATACGCCGATACGGCCCTTATCTGGAGCCCTGTAAGGGACATATCTCTACACATCATTTGTGCTAGGTGAGAGGCCATGTATTCACATTTAGCAAGCATGTCTCTGCCGACCTTACCAGACCTGTTATGTTAGACAAGGAGAATGTTCTAAATATCTATGTCAAGTTTAAAAGGCGGACAGCAAATTATCCAGAATTAAATTCAAACTGTTGCATTTAGCAAACAATTAGTTCATTATCTCACTATGTTGGCCTTGATTCTACAATAACACCACAAACTTGTCAAAAAAGAGGAAGTATGGAATATATTCAGTGTGTTCCAGGAAACAAAATGGACTGATCTTGTTTCAAATGCTAATGGGCCACAAATATCCTGAAACCATTTCTGTAAACCTCTGGACCAACAAAATCTAACATTGTTTTAGTTAGAAGACAAATGAAATTACTCTTTACCCTGCATGGACAGTGGCAGTAGCGTATATAGAGTCTCACATTCACCTACCCGTTATCTGTGCAATATGAAGCAATATTCACTGTCTGTCATTATCAGAAGGACATGAAGTGATATTCACTCTCACTCATTATTTGTACTGCATAAAGCCATTTCTACTTTCCATAACCTAATCTACCACTAGTGTATAGAATACAGCAAATTATTAATTTTCTTTAAGGTATCAGGGCATCTTTACTCTCATTCGTCAGTTCGTTATGAAGCAATATTCACTTCATATCAGTACAGTACTAAGCAATATTTACTCATATTCACTTTCAGTCTACGTTCAAGTCTCACTGCAGAATCAGAAGAATGGCACTTGCAAATATGCTGAATTGATTTATTTCCATGGCATTAGTTGCATGGTCGAAGCGCTCATTCTTTATTAGTTTGAACTTACCACTGATTCACTGAAGCATCGGAGAATATAGCAGTTGAAGATGTGCGTCAGCTCCGCCTTGTTGTGATCTCGACTTGGAGCAGACGTCAACTTGGGCTCGCGAGCAATGATACCGAATACATCCTGCTTGGTACTTCCCTAAAATTAAACAAATATTTATCATCAATCTTTCAAATTAATTCTAAACTTGCCAGTACTCTCTGGGTAGATACTGGTCAAATAAACAGCTCATTTTGGACATGTTGTTTATATGAAATGTCTAGATTCTGTGGAAAACAACTATTAGTATTGGACTAATGGTCTTGTAAGTCACCTCTCTTCCTGTAGTCACACCATATACTTCAATATGTATCCTGTGCTTAAGGACATAGCATGTTAATGATTTCAATAGTGAGTGTGGTGTCTAAGGTAAGGTGAGGTGAGGTGAGGTGAGGTGAGGTGAGGTGAGGTGAGGTGAGGTGAAATGGGGTTTAACGTTGCACTTAAGAATATTTCGCTCATATGACGACGTGCATGCGCGTGTGTGTGTGGATGCTTGTACTAGCCCAGACTTCAGCTGGTTTTATAGTGCTAGCTCACTGAGATACCCTGCCGCAGGTTTAGCATGAATACCCCACTCAGACACATTATACCGACCAGTCCTTGTTGTACCCATTAATGCCGAGCGCCAGGCAGGGATCAACAAGTACCATATTTTAACATCTTTGGTATGACGCGGCTGGGGATCGAACCCGCGACCTTCCACTCTCCATGCGGATGTTCTAACTACTACACCACGGAGGTGGTGAGCGAGTGAGTGAGGTGAGTGAGTGAGTGAGTGAGTGAGTGAGTGAGTGAGTGAGTGAGTGAGTGAGTGAGTGAGTGAGTGAGTGAGTTGGGTTTACTGCTTCTTGCAACAACATTTCTGGTATATCACTGTGGATCAGACCATTTCAGGAAAACAGTGAGTGAGTTAAGTTTGATACAGCTTGAATGGTTTTCCAGTCATTTCCTGGAAAGTCAACATGTGAACAATTCCCTTCATGTAGGTACAAATAGGTCACAAATGTTCAAGCATAGAATACTGTGTGTCAGATAACTTGATAGCAAAATGCTTAGCTTATTTTTGTCTGGGTTCTATTCTTCACATGGGTACAATGTCCTTTAACCTTAGCCACAAACCTTACTCACTCACTAGGTCACTAACTCACTCACGCAATCAGATTACTGGTTTGATCACACAATCAACTATAAAATCTTTAATCAACTATTTTGACAAAAATTGACAGTTGATGAACTGCCAAGACTTCTGGAAAATGTATGCTAAACTATAAATTTGAAAAAGTTCTCTTATTGTCCTCCAAACAGATTAAATAAGATTTCAGCTGGTACAGTGACACTGTCAAATTTGATTGCCACATGTTTAAATACCAAGATTAAATTATCTTATATTTTTTCATTTAGCCAACATAGAAAAAAATCAACATGTGTTTCAACATGTTTGTTAACTTCTCTTGCCTTACAATACATTAAAAGCTTGAACGTCAAACAGTGGCAGGATGTATATCGGACACTGAAGGTAAAACCAACTGAAACACAGTGCTGCCTTTAATGCTCTACAAGACTACCATATCTTCTTGTGTATAGTGTGTACAGTTTTAGAAACAATACAGTGTCATGTACACCTGTGCAAGGGGAGGTGTGCAAACTGTTCTTCATGTGAAAAATATCCTGTAATATACCAAAACAGTTAATTTCACACTAAATATTCATGGCTGCAACTTAAAAAGGAAGATACCATGTGTGTGTGTGTGTGTGTGAAACAAGTTCAGACTTCTAATCATTGCATTAAAATTCAGTCATTTAAAAAATGGAGCATTTTTAAAGCCTAATGACCAGTAGAACTGGCACAAAAATGTGTGAACAGTGCTATTTTTGGCTTGTTTATTAATTTTTATATATTACTTGATTATCATTAACCTCTGCACATAAAACTATGTCCAGCAGAACAAGAAATAAACTGAAATTGAAAACCATCATGTCTATGGATGTTTCATTGCGAGTTTCACATTTTTACTCACTGATTTCTTACGTGCCATTCGTTCACCTGAGCACAATGAGAATGGGACTTGCAACCAATCATAAGTGTTCCACATTATACATAGTGCACATTATACACAAGAAACTATGGTAAGTTGTTGCATATTTAGCAGCAGAATGTTTCTGTGTCCCATGATGAAATCTGGACCACGGACGGAGTCCAAAGTCAGACAAGACGAAAGAGGTTAACCCTGACAGAAGCTGATGAGGTAAGGTCGGCACCTGTTTGACGAGTCTACGCCCTGCTACATGTACAACTAAATACTACTGCTAATATATTTACTAATATATTTAATCTGGACTGTCAAATATTCCCAATCATCTGAAGTTACTGTTAACTTTGTAAAACCATGTCATGGAAGAATTCAGGTCATGAAGTTGAGAACTTAAGTGAAAACCTCGACAGAACTGGAACTCCAAAATGCATTCACAGCAGTTGACCCCATTGCACATCCAACTATGGGAGCTACAGATTACCCTGCGCTTTCGGGAAGGGTGTTATTGCAAAGGATGACTTTGGCTGGAGAAGTGAGTTTGTATCATTCTATTTGGGAGAAAAAGACTTGTCCTTACAGATTTTAAGTGAGACTAACAGACTGACAGACTGCAAGGCCACTTCTCTTCCCTCTGACATATCAACATGGTCTTAGATGTTGAGTGAGTGAGTAAGCCTCTTTAAGCAATATTCCAGCTATATCGTGGTGGGGGACACCAGAAATCTGCTTCACATATTGTACCCATGTGGCATGGGCGGATCTAGGAATGTTGAGAGGGGTGGTGTGTGTGTGTTTCAAGGGGTTCGACCCCCTCTGAACATCCCCATTGGCTCCTCCAACGCAATAAAAATCTTCAATGTGGCCTTAAGTCATTTTCAAAAGGGGGTGGGGGCTGGGGTTCAAACCCCCCTCTGGATCCGCCAATGTGTGGTATATTGAAACCGGGTCTGGACCAGACAATCCAGTGATCAACTAATTCAATCGACTTGAGTATACTTTCTGAATTCCTCAAAGTTTCTGACTAATAGGGCTGAACAAGACAAAACTGTTTAGTTTGTTCATAGAAATTGTGGGCAATAAAAACTGAACTGAGAAATGATTAAGAATTGATGCTACTTGTCTATGAGTTCAATCATCATTCGACATTAACTTGTCCTCAGCACAATTTTGTAATTTCTGGCCAGCAGACAAGCATGAATTTTGAAGGCTGCCTCAACAAAACCCAAGTCAGAGGCCATATACCAAGCAAAAGACCTGTATATGGTCCACCCAGATCATGTAACATTTAGTATTAATCAGCTGATAAAATTGCAAATATTAATAGTTCTACAACCCTAACCCACATAATGGCTATGACAAGCATTATTGTTGTAAACTGACACGATAACCCTTATCCCCAAAAGCTAAGGTCATGATATTTCTGAAGGTGAAATAACTGTTGTAAATTGTGAACGTGCAGCCATCTTGTAACAGCCACAATATAATGTCAGCTACAATATATACTGTCAGCCAGCCAGTTTTCCAGCTGAGAATTTATGACATGTAATAACTTTCATAACTTGGATATCAATCAATGTCGAGAAAGATTTAAGGTATTTGCTAAACAGTCGAAAAATCAATATCCATAGTTTCAGCTTTACATATACATGCGACTTTCTAAAAAGCTTTATGGCCTTTTCGCAAGGAAACAAAGCTTAAGATTTTCGGAGTAGTGGCTAGCTGGCTAAGTACAGCTCTAAGAGGCTGATAAAATGGAAACTGACAGTGTTAATATTTGCCTTTTGTGAATGACTAGATTATTACAATGTTTTTTACATTAATACAGAAGGGCATGGATTAATGTTATTATTAAAATACACCCATCAGATATACAGAAGGCATCATACAAAAGGCAAACTTTCTGGTTAAACAGGTCGCATGCTTGTCTGTCATACAGACCCTGATCCAAGAAAGCCCAGGGCTCCAGATAAATTTTCAACATGAGGAGTACATACTCCTTATTTTTTTCAATACAGGAGTACGGAAAAAAGTTAGAGTACATTTAGAGTACTAAACTTAAGCGTACATTTAGAGTACTGAATGGAATTTAATGGAGTATCAGTAATCTTGTGTTTCGTTTCATATATGCACCACAACATTGCTAGTCTTGTGTAAACAGGTCAATAAACAATAAAACAATACTTTTTCAGATAAATACGTCTGTAAATGATTCCAAGACCGTACACCATTGTCCTGGTGCGTATCTGCTACGTTTTCTAAATTATTTCCTTCTGTATCGTGTATATTTTTTATCCATACATACGCCGATACGGCCCTTATCTGGAGCCCTGAAAGCCCATGCAAGTCTAGAATATGTGGCAAGTCTACATTTCCATTCTTAAAATGAAGAGAATATCTGGGCTCCTTTTCATTACATTACATTTTTTTTATTATGAACTGTTTCATCTGTAAATTATGTTCAATTCAGAGACTAGTTGTTAATCTAGGCACAGGTATATATTAGTCTGTGCTGATTACATTCCAGGAAAAGAAGGACATGGAGGAATGCCCTTATTAAAACACTCCCATCAGATATACAGAAGGCCGTGGTTTCTAGTTAAACAGGGTGCAGGTATATATTTGTCTGTACTGATTGTATTCACCTTTTCTCTGAAATAGATATTTTCTTTTAAGTCCATTTTGGATGTTCTTATGGGCTGGTAAATCTGGCATACATATAGTGATTCTGTTCACAAAGGTAACTATCAGTGAGTGAGTGAGTTAATATTTAACGACACATCGGCAATATTGCAGCCATTTGTGATGAGAACAATTTATATCAAAATTCAAATCAATAAATGTAGAACGTAAAACCTGCCATCGAAGGACAATAAAAACACTAGATTATCACAGCTCTTAATTTAAAACTAGTATGCTATCATAAAAATATATCACTATAAACAACAGTACAATGTAAAAACGGGCTATACATCACCAGCAACTGAAGGCTGATCACCATGCCATGAAGGTAACTCTCCAGTATTATGACATGGATCATATTAATATCACAAGAATCAGGTAATTGTGACCTACATTTCCCCAGAATCGCCAAGACTACAAGGAAATGAAAGAGTACTTGACCTACCTGAGACACAAACGAAATGTCCTTAAACTTCCTCTCAAGAACGGGCTGCTTCTTGTCTGGGCTGATGAGCGTGAGATCCTTCCTGCCGATCTGCAGCAGCATAACCCTACTTGCTTCGTGTCTTGGAGCTTCTTTCTTTAAGACATTTGACGAACGAGAAACAAACACTTCCTGCTCTTCCTCGCCATTCAAGTGCTCTTTACTCCCGTCACTATCGACACTCTGACCGACCTTAAGTTCGTGACCTTGACATGAATTTAACACCCCATTGGAACTACCATGAACATTCTCCGAAGAACTTCCATAGGTATCTCCACTCGCAAGTTCATCTGTGCTACTCTCTGCGCTGTCATATTGGAGTTGAAGTCGTTCATGTTGCCGACTTAAGTTATTTTCCGTAACACTAACCACATCATCAAGAGACGCAGGTAAACTCCTAACACTGGTTCCGCTAGCATGTCGTTGTCTTTGTTCTTGTTCTTGAGCACGGAGCCTCTGTTCTTCTCCTCTAGCATCGAACCTTTCCACAAGTTCATCGATGAATGACGTCGGGACTTTTCTTGTTGCCACCTGAGTTCGGCCAATAAACATGACCTCAAAGAATGTTTTTGATTGGTCAAATGTTCCTTCTCCCATATTGGTGGGTAAGTTAACAACCTTTTCGTGAGTTGCTTCTTTGGTCAAGTCTTTTGTAGCTTCGCGTATGGAGTTAAATATTTCTGGGACCTGAAATCATAAAGAATAGTGAGTGAGTGAGTGAGTGAGTGAGTATTGCTTAACGCGGCATAAGTGATGTTGCAGCTATTAGCGGCGAGCATAAAGAATAGTAAAAGTTTGTTTAGTACACCATAAACAGGGAAAGCTTATATTTATGATCCACTTGAAAAATTCCCATTTACCTGAATGAGTGAGTGAGTGAGTGTAAATGTGAGTGGTGGTGGTGGTGGTGGAATTGGGTTTAACGTCGTGCTTGAGAATATTTCGCTCATATGACGACGTGCATGCGTGTGTATGTGTATGTGCGGCTGCTTCTACTAGCCCAGACTGAAGCTGGTTTTATAGTGCTAGCCCACTGAGATACCATGCCGCAGTGAAGCATGAATACCCCACTCAGGCACATTATACTGACTCCGAGCCGACCAGGCAGGGACCAACAAGTACCATATTTTAATGTCTTTTGGTATGACGCGGTCGTAAATGTGAGTGAGAGTGAGTGAGTGGAGTGAGTGTCTTTGATCTTAAAATACTTTCATCAATACTTCTACGACATCACAACAGGATATACTATGTTAAGGCACATACATTATACAAATATAGACTTTTAACATGATTGAAAAGAACTTAACCACACAGCTACCTAACAACCCTTGCCCTTCAACATATAAAGAGAAAATCCTATAACACATAAAACACCCACTCAGTACCTTTAAGCCTGAGTTATCCAGTGTTTGAACTTCACACCATTGCTACACAACATAATACAACGCTATTTGCACATACACGCACACTTTATACATGATTTCATAAAATCATGTCAGTGACAATAAACACTATAATGCCTCATTAAGCACTTGGATCAACACCAGTTTTGGGCTTTCTGGGAGTAGAAGATCTAACAGGTCAACATCATCCATCACATGATCTGTCACTGCACATGATAAAGACAAAACACTACCATGCACAATGTAACACAATACGTCATGCAATTGTTATTGATATCAACAGTTTTATTTTGTATTCCATTCCAGAGTTTGTATAGTTCAAGTCTCTTCGACCTTTGCGCAGTTCAATATATGCATTGTTTCATAATCTTTCTACTTTGACCGTTTGTCATTAAGACAAGAATAAAGTTAATAGCCAGCTTTCAACAGGTCAAAAGGTATATTTATCACACTTAGTTGACACGCTGTGCGTTACTTATCCCAAGGCTATACACAGCAAGGTCAAGTGAAACGGTGTGGTTTATACCACAGGTTATACCACAGGGAGATATAAATCATTTATATACTGTGTAGCATCACATGTCCAGAACATGCTGTTGTTGAGTGATTTCTTTCAGTGTAAATAATTTGGTCATTACTGTAATAAATGAAAATAAAATAGAACATGAAAATGGTCACTAGATTTTATCCATTATGTAACAAACTTGATAGTGCAGCTAATTTATATGGTAATAATAATGCTGCATAAAGATGAAAATAGAATATAAATGATATCTTTATCTACTGTAAAGAAATATTTACATAACTCAAAAAGTAAGATCACATTTAAAGCAAAATGTCAACACATTCAGTGCTTAATCAGCAATTTTGCATACAGCCAATCATAATGAAGCCTCACCCACCTAAAACAAACAATGTATTCCACTAATAAATAATTACATAATACCACGCTGCATTATTTCCCTCACACAACTCAAACAGGTTTCAAGTGTTCAGTTCCTGTTTCCATCATCTGCTTATATAACATACTGGACAAAATAAGTTAGGGATATTGGTATTTTTATGATTGATATTTTATCAGTGTGTCAATTAATAAATAGATCATTATTCATTATTTCAAAATTTTCATATATCCCTAACTATTTTTGTCCAGTATATTTCAGTTTATATTTTTTCGATGGTAAAATTTAACAATGTAATAACCCAAGATACTGACATTCTGAAAGATACTGGTGAACTATAGTACACATATTTAGTTCCAGTCAATAACATGTAGCATATCCCTGACAACAGCCCATTACTTCCTTCCCTGACACTTTCGTTCGGTAGATATAAGCCCATATTCCTGTGTATGCATGATGAGTGTCATAAAGTTAAAGGTTTATTCCCTGTGACCACTATAATGACTGTCAGGTGATATCTATTTATATACAACAGTACATGAACATGGAGAACAGGCTGATGATGGTGGGATGATAGTCTCCTACAACTGCCTGATTAGATATAGGCGTATTGATGCTGTCACTCATGGCAGTCAACCAAAGGCTGATCCTTGTTGCAGGTCATATGTGCCTGACAACTGATCTGAAAACAAGCCAAGCCCTGAGAGGAATTAACACCTGTCTTGAATACATCTCAAGTCAACTGCACCACAAGGAAACAATGAAATAAGACCTAGCAGTAGGATATAAATCAAACAAATTTTTGTTCCATTTTGTTGGATTACTTGATAAAGTGAGTGAGTGAGTTCAGCTTTATCCCGCTTTTAGCAATATTCCAGCAATATCACGTCAGGGGAAATCAGAAATGGGCTTCACACATTGTACCCACAGAGGGAATCGAACCCGGATCTTCGGGGTGATGAGCAAACGCTTTAACCACAAGGCTACCCTACAACCTCAACTTGATAAAGGTTATTTGAAAGTGTATTTATTATTAAAAATGTTAAAACAACTAAATCATACTACTGATGGCCCTGTAGCTCAACAATACTTCATATTAATCTACATGACAAGAAGGTAGTGGACAATATAAGCAGTTTACTATACACTATCAAAACCAAGAATAACTTTAACATAGGGCAGACTGCCTGAGGTCTTCTGTCTTAAGCGACAAATATTCTCCTTGATCGTGGAAATGATTGAAGCAGGTGAGCTTATAATCATATAATTTCATACAACTTGGAAGAAGCCTCAAGCATTTTGTGAAATGCTCTGGTCAGAAAGTAGATCATTAAGCTAAATTGATAGGAAATGCTGTCCAGTAACCAAATAATAAATCTGAATTTTATGTTTTTAAGGTTTATGCTTAGTCTTCTAAAAGGATTACACTTGAGAGAAGTGTTATGCTAGGAGCAGGTCAGTCAACATGACTGTTTTCTATAAGCAACTCTCACACAGACAAGCAGTTTCTTATCCTTGGCTATAGTGCATTAACGTCATAGTGTATAGTGAGTCCGTATCACATGACAATACAAGATAAGTTAGTCATCTACGATTACAAACATAGTTGCTAAAACAGGTGATAAGTTACATCAAACTATAATTAGTTTTTCATGAATTCACATGAACAAAGTAATTTAAGCATATAAATATCTACACAGAAACATAAACATGTAAACAGCTGGGTTTCATTCTCAGTCATAACCATAGAAACGAATTATAGCACAACATGTTTCTAAATATGTTTCAAAATAATCAATCAAACAAAATAAATGAAACAAAATTTAAATACTATTTGCATTACACCTCAATATCTTATGTCCTTGAAAGTATAATTGACACAAATGCCTACTTCTTTTGGGGCTTTCTCCGATTTCTGAAACATAGGTGATGCGCTTCTTTTCAGCACATGAATCCGTAGATCTGACTCCATTGTACCTGCTTCAGGCATTGTAACACTGTTGTTTCAGAGGATATAGTCACTAATGGTCTCTCCACCTGCCAGTATCAACTACTGAGCAGTAAGTAATCAGCATATCCCCTCATTAGGCCTGAACACGCTATGCCCTGACAGGGTTTGTTAGCATTGTAATCAGAGTATCCTGTTTATATCACACAGTCGTATCCACCTCTTATCATGAACTCCGTATCACACAGAAGGTGTATATGACTGGTCTTGAGTGACATCATTCATATCCGGGACAGTTATATCAGTGTCATCGTGTTGCTTCCGCTTACAATACCGTCTATATTCTTAATTAGTATTGTCAGTCAAAACAAGCGGACATGGTATTAGCAGATGACATTTTAATAGAATAATAGACACAATAAATATTGTTATCTCTGAATATATAAATTTTGAATGTCTCTTACAAAAAATAAGTGCCATCAGACTATTCTAACCAGAATATATACTGAGGCTCAATCAATCAATGTTTATTCGTGAATTAGGCCATCCAGCCCATATTACAAAGATACATTTTGATATATTATATTCCTGAAAGAATAATGCATACTGTGATATACATAATATACACTTAAACGTATTTACAATTTGCTGATATAAACAATACATCATTAATACAATATACTGAGGCTCTTTAAAATGCATGTTAAAGTTTTTGTAATAATTGACAAAATGGTCACAAAATGTAAATGAAGTTTTTCTGGATATTCAGGCCTGAGATAATGAAAATAACATCATTGTTTTGGCTTAAATACAGTTTAATGTGTTTGGAGAAGGACTAAAGCACAAAACACCTAATTTCTGACTTTGAGTTATACATGATTATGAGTTTTTACGAGTGTTTCAGTATAGATAAGAAAACTTCATGTGATAGAGGCCATCTGGAAGCATGAAGCAATCCTATGGGCTTCTTTTATCATAATGCAATAATGCATATGTTTTCAATCTACTTTTCTTTGAAGATTGATGTTTATTTTGGTTGAAGAAGGAGTCTATATTTATAATCAAACATTGTAACTCATGTACTGTCATGCATGCATTGCGTCAATAACAAAGTCGTGATGAATGTCACAGGTTCTATTTCATAAGTTAGGAGGGAAAATAGGAAATAAGATGTCAAGTTTTCCCCCAGAAGCATCTAATTACCCGATTAGTTGTGTGGACAGTTTCGGTGAGATAGAATGTAACAGCACACCTACAATAGCTTAGCCATTCAGAGACAAAATAAGAAGACTTATCAGTCTGTAAAGCCATACATTACACACAATTCTTGAGATTCTCATTGCTGAAAGGTCAGCTGAAGCCATATGATGTAAAAATAATACGATATGACACCATCCATCACAAGCTGATTACAAGTCATCAGCGAAGTTCCTC